GGCTAGATACCAAATTTACTCTCCTTTAAACCTAATGATAATCAAGAGAAGGAAAAAGCGAAGAAAAAAACAATAAGGGAGAAATCTGAATTCAGTGCAGAAAGGAACAAATGGGGAGATGAGAAGCAATGTGGGACAGCAAGAGAATGAGTGTGAGAGAAAGAAGAGATAAAAGAAAGAAAATAAAGAAAAACTTTGAAGAGTAGAAAAAAAGTAAAAATTAAGAATTAAAAATAAGGGAATTTTTTTTTCTTTTTTGCAAATAGCAATAGAAATTATGGGCCTCCTTCAGGATATGGCTCTGCCGTCACAGTAGGCAACATAGGAATCCTTGTGCACACACAAGTCAATGAGTCTCAGCAAGCCAGCAGCAGACCAAGTACAGTGGTCTGATGTGCCTTTATTGTAGAGATTCTCTTTACTTTTCTGCTGAGCTTCAGTCTTCATCGAGGAGCCTGAGAAGCCCTCTTTCTGTTACTAACTTCTGCTGTATCTTGTGGCGCTCAGGAAAAGGGTCTTTTTAATCTCCTCTGCCTCTGTAGTGTGGGACCAGGTAGCAGAAAAGCCAGAAGGTAGGAGGCGTATGGGGTGGGGGGAGGGACTGAGAGTTGGAGGCCCCTGTGCAGCTAAGTGGACCTCACTGTGCTGTGGGTGTGGCCCAGGACAGCTCCAGGAGCTTCCAGCTGCTTGTCTCGCCGGGCTGGTCATATAATGTATAATTCTTGAAGTGAATTTTTGGAAAGTTTTATGGGCTGGATTACTTTTAAGCCATTGAAGGGTAAAGAAAGTCCTTCTGGGAGATTTGCATTTTACCATCAATGTCTCCTCAGATTTGCCTCACTGGACACCTTAAAGTTCACTGGGAAAGAATTTCCTCTGTTGCATTCATTGCATATGTACTAGAGCAGAGCCTGAGAGTTCCTTAGCAGTTGGCTGAGTTGATAGAACAACCAGGTGTGAAGAGAAGCTACCGACCTTTCTCCATCACTCTGATGACGCCCTGCTCCAGGGACCGAGCTGTGCTTGGCCACAGGGGGCACTGGCTAACAGCTACAGATCCTGATTGGGAACTGAATCCCCTCTCTGCCCAGCACCATGCCTCTGGGGTCTCTCTGGTGGAACTTGGAGAAGGCTAGAGCCCTGAGGCTCCTGTCTTTGTGAGGATCTACCCTGCCCTGAGTAGCCTGGGGTTTGGCAGGGGCTGGAGCCAAGACTGGTTTCAGGGGCCCTGATTCTCCAGATTCTTGCAAAACTTCAGGTTTTCACCACTGAGGATTCCTTATTTACTTGCCAGTTCAGTGATGCAGTTAGAAAAGAGCATACAGCTATCTTTAAACTGCAATTACTATTATAATTGTTTTCAGTAAAAAGCAAGTTCAGAAAAACTGTACTGTAAGGGCAGAAGTGAAAGCTGCCTTGGGAATACAGGGGAAAGTTGGCAAATATTTGTACAGTAGTGTTCATGACAGGGCTGTTTACAACAGAAGAAAGAGGCAAACCTGGGAGGCAAGACACAGCGAGCAGTACCTGAGTGTGGCCTATGCACTGAATGTGACAGTGGATTCATATGCAGCATGCATAGTGGGCCATGTCCCCAGTGTACATCATGACCCCAAATGTGGCTGTGGACACCAAGGTGCAGGAGGAGGTACATCAGGTCAATGTGACAGAGCTGGAGAAGAGTCTGCATTTTTCCAGGTGTTTCCTTTCACTATTTGCAGTGATCACCATTTGTGGGCATCACAGGGTTCCCAGGGACCATGGGCCAAAGCAGCAGGCTCAGAACACAGGGTGTCTTCATCATCACTGCAGAATCCTACATGTATGGAGTTACCGGTCACAAGGCTGTGTGGGCTCAAGATGGCTTTAGCCTGACATGGTCTCCCTGGACATCCACTCAAGTGCCTTTCCTTCTGGGTTCTTCATGAACTTACACAGCAACTTCCTTTCTTTTCTTTTGCATCAGGAAAATGAAATGGTAAAGTGAGTACCACCTCTAAGTCTCATGGATACTACTAATTAAGTATGCATCACTTTGAGGACTTTTGAGAAGTGTTTGCTATTTTAGAATAATGTCAAGTCATAGAATTGCAAGTGACAGAGAGACAGGAGACCATTCTTCTCTGCTCCTTTTATACATGGCAGATTGATTTTTGGTTAAGTCTCAAAATTCAGCACCCTGGTGGTGGTTAATCTCTCCCTGCCACTGCAAAGACCGTGATGACCACCAGCTGAGGGGAGAGTGGAGCCCAGACCTGGAAAACAATCCCACCCAGTGGTGAAGGTCCCTCGGGGTGGGACCTGGCCAGCAGCACTGCACCAAGGCACTGCTGTGCTGCCTGCTTGGGACAAGGCGTTGTGTTGATGGCAGGTGGGGGTCGATGTGAGATGACACAAACAGGACTCAGAAGAACATGGTGTGGTTTGAACTGCTGTGGCTTCAGAGGACAAGAGGAGCAAAATAATAAGTCAGTCCAAGTTTAATACTTGAATGCCAAAGTATTTTGTAGTAAGAATATGAGTGGAAACAGAGCAACCTCATACTGCTGTCATTCCCTGGCTCAGGAATATTCCACCCAAATGACAAATAGAATCAAGGTGAATGGGAGCTACAGCTATTCTTCAACTACAGGTAAACATTCCAATCAGTTAACCAGCATGACCAGAGTGAGCATTTGCAGGCTCCTATGGGACCCACCCCAAAGGTGTCCATCTCCCTCAACCCTCTGCTCTCTGCTCACCCCTGACAGTGCAGTGCCAGCCTTGGATAAGGTCTGAACCTGGATCCTTTACCCCAGTGTAATACATGTGCAGTCTGTAGTATCAATCGATTCTAACAGAACATTTTACAGTGAACTCAAAAAACCTTAAAATTTCTTGAGTTCCTGATTTAAATATTTTGAATCTGTGTTAGCATTCTTCCAGATTTAAAAATCTCCCAGAAAATATATTTGACTGAGGTGGCTGGAACATGTGAAGCGGCCTCTGGAGTCACACAGCGTGGGCCGCCCCAAGATAATGGGATGGTACTGGTCTTCTCCAGGCTCACTTTTGTTGCAGCAAATGACAGGACTTCATTCTTTTTATGGATGAATAATACCACATTGTCTCTATATACCACATTTTCTTTATTTTTTTAACTTAAAAACATTTTAGTATTTTTAATTTTTTTTTAGCCAGGTGTTAGTACATGTTTGCATTATACAGTGTTTACCTTCCTTGTGTGCATTGGTACGTGTACATGTCACGTCTTCATTCCTAGTATCATCCACTTCCCTCCCCACCCCATATCACAATCCCCTTCCCATTTGAGAAACATCTGTCTGCATTTCCTTTGTTATTAATCCATTTCTGCACACATGGCTTAAGTCCACATCTTGGCCAATGGCCATCTTGGTAAATGGTACTGCAAAGAACACGAGAGTGCCTCTCTCTCCTACCATTCTGACTTCCTTTCTTTGACTAGGTATTCAGTAGTGGTTTGCTGTAGGATCAGATGGCATTTCCATTTCTGGTTTTGGAGTGTTCTTCTACTGTTTTCCATGATGGCAGTACTAATTTACATTTCCTCACACAGATTGAGAGTTCCTTTGCCTCTGCATCCTCGTCAGATGCATTTATTATTTTTTGTCTCTTTGATAATAGCCATTTTAACTTAGATGGGATAATATCTCACTGTGATTTTGATCTATATTTCTCTGATGATTAGTGATGTTGAGCATTTTTATGTATTTTTAGACATTTATAGTTTATTTTGAGAAATAACTATTCATATTAGTCCTATTATTTGCCCATTTTAAGATTGAATTATCTATTCCCTCTTTGTTTTGCTGTCGAGTTCTTTGCATCCATTTCATATTCTGGTATAAGATGAATAGCTTGCAAATATTTTCTTTCAATATGTAGGTTAGCTTTAATTCTGCTGAAAATTTCCTTCGCTATGCAAATTTTTTTTAAAATGTGATTTCATGTTAAAATTTACTTTTGTTGTCAGTGCTTTGGGGCTCATATAGAAACAAAACACCACTTCCTCAAATCAATGTTTTGGTTCATTTTACCTTTGTTTTCTTCCAGTATTTTCCTAGTTTTAAGTCTTATACCAGTTTTTTACTTTGCACTTTACAAACTTTATTAAATACTAGGCATTACTAACTTTCATTACCTTATATACTGTATTTAAACTATATGCCCTAATTGCATCTTTTTCCCACAAAGAATTAAGTAGTTGAAAAAATCGATCATTTCATACAGGAATCTAGTGAGGACTTTCAAGTTCATATAACTTTCCTCTCAATGATATATATCCCCACTACATCTCCAAAATAAACTATTTTAAACAAAAGCACTTAAATGATAACTGAAGAAACCTATGAACATGATTATATATTTGCACACACTGCTCAAAATCTGCATCCTGGCCCATAGATTTGTCCTAGAACCTAAAGGAGAGCAAAACATCCACCTTTATATAGTGAAGTGTATTCTTATGTGGGACTGCATAACCTTTGTTCCTTTTCTCCAGCCCCATTGTGATTAAATGTGGGTTAATGAATAAAGATGCTTGTTAGTTTTGGAACACTAGATAAAAATCTGTAACAGACCTAAAGTTCCAAAGTAAACTACTCAACGCCTTGTTTGCCCGGAACTGATGTTACAGACCCCACAATCTATAGAACAAGCTGCAAATGTCTGCTGACCATCAATATGTGACAGTCGACCACCAACCTTTGTCCCCTTTTCTTTAATTCTATATGTTAACTTCCTCCTCAACCCCCTATAAGAAGAGCCTCGGACTCTGAGCCAGTTGCCTCTCTAAGCTATTTTGCTTTGGGAGTGCCCTCTGGCCAGACTAACAAAGGTCTGTTTTATTTTCCAACTTGTCCGGTGTGTTCCTTTCCGGGTGTTCTTCGCTGCAGTCGGCTCCTCGGAGTGTTTGGCAAGGCTCTTGGTCTTACATTCTGGAGGCACTGCTGGGATCCCTGGGTGTGCTTCACTACAGTCAGCTCCTCAGAGCGTTTGGTAAGGCCCTTGGTCTTACATTCTGGAGGCACTGCTGGGATCCCTGGGTGTGCTTCACTACAGTCAGCTCCTCAGAGCGTTTGGTAAGGCCCCAGGTCTTACATTTTGGAGGCCCCAGCGAGATCCCGGGTAAGGAACCCCAGTTCAGCTGAGACTCTGTGGTGGGATCCAGCAGGAGACTCAGGCACAGGCCTCAGAAAACCTCCGGAGGTAAGTTTTTGTCCAGTTGCAACCGTTTGTTGTCAGGAGTGAGGTGGCTGATGGGCCGGTAAGCCTCCCCTGACCCCAAGGTTCCTGACGAGGAACAAGGGAAGATTTAGTTTCAGTTTTGTTGTGGCACCTGTTCATCTTGTCATTCGTATGTTAGTGTCCTGTCCATTGTGTGTTTAATTTTGTATTTCTTCCCAAACCATCAAGGACAGAGATGGGAAGATCCTGCTCCAAGACTACCCTGTTGGACTGTTTCCTCACTAATTTTAAATTGGCTTTTCCCCCTGAACAGGAGAACGAATTTGGGGATTAATTTTTCTCGAGGAAAACTTCGCTCCCTGTGTCAATTGGAATGGCCAGCCTTTGGAGACTGGATGGCCAGCCGAGGGCTCCTTTGAGCCGAGCCTCTGCCGGGCGGTATGGAAAAGGATAACCGGGTACCCTAGCCATCCTGATCAGTTTCCATATATAAATATCTGGGTTCAGCCTTGTCAAGAGCCTCCGGCTTGGTTGCAGCGTTGTTCCTTGTGAACAAACTCTGGCATTTTGGTTATGGCCCCAAGGGAACCCCGAGAGGTCAAAGCCCGGGCTCCCAAGCTGGTGCTCTCACAAGATCCTTATCCCTTAGACCTCTTTGTAAGACCTCTACCCTGTGTGGAGCCATCCTCCTCCTCTGAAAAAACCGGCCCCAGATCTTGAAACCCTTTCTACCCTCCTCCTCCAGAAGAAGAAAAATCTCTGGACTCTGTAACCTGCCCCTCCCACACATGAATGGGGCCCCTTATGGTCCCAGCAGGGCTCCCACTGAAGGGAGTAGTTCAGTTCCTCTTCTGCCTCTTAGGGAAATAGAACAGGGTCATTATGTCTATATCCCTTTCTCTACCAGTGATTTGTATAATTGGAAACATCAAAATCCCCCTTTTTCAGAAAAACCCCAGACTTTGATCTCCCTCCTAGAATCTGTTTTTCATATGCATGACCCTATCTGGGATGATTGTCAACAACTCCTTCAAGCCCTTTTCACCTCCGAGGAGAGAGAGAGGATCCAAGGGCAAGCCATAAAATCAGTGTTGGGAGGAACAGAGGGCCTACTTGATGAGCAACAGTGGGCCCGTGTTGAGGCACAACTTCTGTCCACCTGTCCCCCATGGCAAGTTAATTCCTCAGGCGGGAGAGAAGCTCTCCAAAACAACCATCAGTATCTCCTAGCCAGCTTGAGGGGAGCCACTCAAAAGCCTACCAGTTTGAGCAAGGTAAGCGAGGTCCTCGAAGGACCTGAGGAATCCCTTTCTGCCTTTCTGGAGCATCTGTTGGAACCATACCATATGTATACTCCAATTGACCCAGATGCCCCTGTAAACCGACAGGCAATTAATTTGGCTTTTGTCACTCAGTCAGCCCCAGATATTAGAAAGAAACTACAGCGGATGGAAGGATTTGAGGGAGAGAATAGGGAAAAGTTGATGAGTGTGGCGATGAAGATGTTTAACAATAGGGATCCTTTTGAGGATAGAATGGCTAAAAAGATAAAAAAGGTGAATATTACAGCCTTGGCAGATGGAGGTTTTATCCAAAAGGAATACAGAAAGAATACAAAAGAGAATAAAGGTTAAGTACGGCCCTTGTTAGAGAAGGATCAATGCGCATATTGCAAAGAGAAGGGTCATTATAAAAGGGATTATGAAAAGTTGAAAAGAAAGAGAGAGAAAGAGACTAAGAAAGAAAGAGACGAGGTTCTTCTAGTAGATAAAAAAGATTGACGAGGCCAAGGTTGGGATCTCCAAACACATCCACTGACTCCAGAAAGCCGGCATCTTGATCCCTTGCCAGACAACCTGGAATACACCACTGCTTCCTGTGAAAAAGCCTGACACCTCAGACTTCAGACTGGTGCAGGATTTACGGGAGGTAAACAGCTGGGTGGAGACCATTCACCCAACAGTGCCAAACACCTATACTCTGTTGAGTCTCATCCCTCCTGCTCATGTGTGGTACTCAGTATTAGACCTCAAAGATGCGTTTTTCAGCCTGTTTCTAGCACCTGTGAGCCAGCCCCTCTTTGCCTTCAAATGGACTGACCCAGACACTGGGACTACCAGACAGCTGACATGGACCCAGCTGCCGCAGGGATTCAAAAACTCCCCCACTCTGTTTGGGGAAGCTCTCAGCAAAGATTTACAAGAGGTAAGAAAAGTGTTTCCCCAGGTGACTATTCTTCAGTATGTCAATGACCTCTTGGTGGTGACTTCAACCAATAAAGAATGCATTGCAGCCACCAAGGGCCTCCTGAAAGCCCTCCAGGAACTGGGATATCAGGTGTCCTGGAAGAAAGCTCAACTCTGCCAGACCAAGGTAACCTACTTGGGCTATATTCTTGAAAAGGGAAAGTGAAGGCTGGCAGAATTGAGAGTATCTGCAATTCTCCAGATTCTGAAGCCAGGCTCAAAGAAACAGGTGTGAGAGTTCCTAGGGGTGGTTGGCTATTGCAGGATTTGGATTCCTGGCTTTGCTGAGATTGCCAAACCCCTGCATGAGGCCACTGTGGGAGGAAATACACCTCTCGAATGGACTGAGGCTTGCCAGCAGGCATTTCAATTGCTTAAGACTGCACTTGCACCAGCACCAGCCCTGGCATTGCCAGACTTAAACAAGCCCTTTACCCTGTATGTGACAGAGAAAAATGGGGTAACTAAGGGAGTGATTACTCAGCTTTTGGGGCCATAGAAGTGTTCTGTGGCATGCCTCTCAAAGAAGCTCAACCCAGTGGCCCGAGGGTGGCTTACTTGTTTGAGGACAGTAGCAGCAGCAGCTCCTTTAACCCAAGAGGCTGACAAATTGACCTTTGGATAGGATTTGACTTTGATTACTCCCCATGCCATTGAGCCCTTAGGCTCTGGAATTGGAAAAAAAAAAAGGATAAATATATTCACTGATAGCCGTTATGCTTTTGCCACTGCCCATGTACATGGGGAAATTTATCAAAATAGAGGACTGTTGACCTCTGAAGGAAAGGAAATCAAAAATAAGACAGATATTGGCATTGCTACAAACAATCTGGTTGCCTCGAGAGGTCGCCATCATCCATTGCCGTGGGCACCAGAAGGGGCTTAGCCCCGAGATGATTGGTAATAATGCTGCTGACCAGGTGGCAAAACAAGCTGCCCAAAAATCAGTGGGGAGGCAAATGGTTCTGCTTCCCATGCAGGTACTCACAGAAAAACCTGAATACACAGATAAAGTAGCGGAAATGAACAGGAGACGCTGGACTTGAGGAAAACATGGATGGTGGACGACTAAGGATGGAAAGGTGATGCTCCCAGCTGCTGTAGCAGACACGTTGCTGCTAGAACTACATGAGTCCACCCACCTCAGCGAGAAAAGGATGATGGCTGCCCTGCAACCTCATTTCGTCAGTGAGGGATTAGCCCAAAAGGCCCAGGACATGGTGAGACGATGCCCCACCTGCCTCAAGGTAAATACAAATTGGGTAACTGGGCCCCCTGGGGTCCAACACAGAGGACTAACTCCAAGAAAACATTGGGAATTGGACTTTACTGAAATGAAGCCTGGCATGTATGGGTACAAATACCTGCTAGTTTTTGTGGATACATTTTCAGGATGGGTAGAAGCATACCCCACTAAGAGGGAGACAGCTGAAGTAACAGTTAAAAAGCTCCTGACAGAAATAGCTCCCCGTTTTGGTTTGCCCTTAGCTCTGGGGTCCGACAGTGGTCCAGCCTTTACGGCTAAGATATCTAAAGTAATTAGTAATATCCTTGGAATAAAATGGAATCTACACTGTGCCTATAGGCCTCAAAGTTTGGGACAGATAGAAAGAATAAATGGAAGTTTAAAGGAGATTGTGACTAAATTATGCTTGGAGACTGAACTAGGTTGGGTAGAGGTTCTCCTTTTTGCCCTCTTCTGAACGAGGTGCACTCCCAAGCCTCCCCTCAATCTGTCCCCCTTCCAGATTGTTTATGGGCCATCTCCCCCAAACATTCCATTAATAGATGTAGAATTAAAGGAAAAATTTTCCCACCTTCGACTCCTTAAATCCTTAAAGGCAGTTCATCAGCTTCAGTCAGAGCTACATGAGACATTACAAAAAAAAATTACTAGTCCAAATGAAAAACCTTTACAACATTTACCCTATAAGCTGGGAGATTTGGTTTTTATTCACAGGTTTGATTCCAAGACCCTGGAACCTTGTTAAAAGGGACTGGTTCCTGTTGTCCTGTCAACTCCCTTGGCGGTAAAAGTGGCTGGACATTCTGCCTGGATACATTGCAACTATCTAAAAACAGGACCCCCCATGGACATCAAAAAGGACAAGTGAAAGGTTATCAGCCAACCAGGCAACCAAAAGCTAAGACTGGAACAGGTTGGAAATGTTTCATCTTAATGATAATATTTTCTGGGACACTAGCAGTATTGCCCCCAAGAGGACTAGATCACACAAAAAATGTATGGATTCAATTGGCAAACTCACTTAACTTCTCTGAATTCTGCTTAAATGTTGATGTAAATTTCCATTATATGCTGGAAAGCTGTCTTATTCCGGTATACACCTCTTTAAAATTAATACGACCCTATACCCTATTTAAGGACATCCCAGGAAAAAAAATCTTACTTACATGGATAGTTATAATTGGGGACATGACACCTGCAGTAAACCTAAAAATGCTGTCAAATTATATACACCCAAGGTAATTATGTCAAACAAAACTAAATGTGCTATGTATAAAAATTGTACAACCAAATGTCTGAGGATAAAATGGTCAGAAGGGATGTCCTGCCATATAAAACAAAAAATTGTGTGTAACAATTGCCATATCTCACTGCCCACAGGATGGTTTTATACCTATGAAGAAATAACCTTTAATTATATTCCAGCAAATTTAACCAAGACCCGCTGCTGTTTGAGTCGTCTAGCTGTAGTGTTGCCGGACAGAACTGATTTGATTGTGCCTAACAGAACTAAACGTTGGCCACCTTACACTGCACCAGGATGCAATGATGATGTAGGTCTGTTAACAGATGCTAAAGTAATAACCATGATAGCATCTTTTGTTGCCCTGCCTTCTATAGGAGTCCATGCTAAAAAGACAGTACAAAAATTAGCTTGCAAGGTGGTCAAAGGGTTAAATGCTACCTCATCAGCCTTGGCATTAATTAACCAAGAGTTACAGGATCAGAGACAGGCAATCTTAGATAATAGAACAACAATAGACTATTTGTTGCTCCTCTACCACCAAGGTTGTGAAAGAGTAAAAAATATGTGTTGTTTCAATCTTACCGATAATGGTCCAAAGATCAAAAAAAAGGTAAAACAATTAAAAGATCTGGCTCAAAGAATATATAATAAGGATGGCGGGGACTTGTTCAAATGGTTAACTTCATGGTTGCCCAATCTACAATGGTTAAAACAACTTTTTCTTGTCATCATAGTTGTGTGTACATGCTTATTATTGTCATGTTGTTGTATACAATGGATACCTACATTTGTGAGTAAGATTAGTTAAGTTCCAAAAATCAGTGGGGAATGTGGGACAGCATAACCTTTGTTCCTTTTCTCCAGCCCCATTGTGATTAAATGTGGGTTAATGGATAAAGATGCTTGTTAGTTTTGGGACACTAGATAAAAATCTGTAACAGACCTAAAGTTCCAAAGTAAACTACTCAATGCCTTGTTTGCCCAGAACTGATGTTCCAGACCCCACAATCTATAGAACAAGCTGCAAATGTCTGCTGACCATCAATATGTGACAGTCGACCACCAACCTTTGTCCCCTTTTCTTTAATTCTATATGTTAACTTCCCCCTCAACCCCCTATAAGAAGAGCCTCGGACTCTGAGCCAGTTGCCTCTCTAAGCTATTTTGCTTTGGGAGTGCCATCTGGCCAGACTAATAAAGGTCTATTTTATTTTCCAACTTGTCCGGTGTGTTCCTTTCTGGGTGTTCTTCACTGTAGTCAGCTCCTTGGAGTGTTTGGCAAGGCTCTTGGTCTTACATTCTGGAGGCACCACTGGGATCCCTGGGTGTGCTTCACTACAGTCAGCTCCTCAGAGCGTTTGGTAAGGCCCCCGGTCTTACACTTATAGGTGACTTCAGAGTTTGTTCAGTGAGACACTGATGTGAAGAATCAATTATTTTTGAGACTCAGACACAACAGTAATGAAGACTCTGTAGAATTTTGGTTATACACACCAAAAAATGAATATGGAAAACATCATTCCTGAACAAGAGTCAAGTAGCTTTGTTTAACAGGTAATATAAGTGCACTTACACATGCCTCTAGCAAGTCTAAGAACACACTTTCTTATGAAGCTTTTTTTGGATACTTCTTAATATTAAAAACTTGTATCTTGCTTAAATAAAAGCAATAACAAAGCTATATTTCCAGGTCCAGTCTATTTAATATGGACTTTTTATTTTCTGTGCTGAGCATGGATCCCAGGGCCTCGTGCGTGCCAGGCAAGCATTTACTATTGCATATATCCTCAGCTTCTGGGCTTTAGGAGCTACAAGAAAATAAGTTAGTTTGAAAAATATATTTGGGCTAGATTTGTTATTTAAAATGAAAGCTGCCTTAGGTATTTGTAGGGAACAGGGGAAGGGATGTTACCAGAACCTCTGCAGTAAGTCCTAGTCTCCTGTGAGCCAGGGCAGCACATGGTGAATTACAGGAAAGGCAGACAAATGAGACTGAGAAGAAGCTGAGCTTTGGGTCTGATCAGTGCTGCTCTGGTCAGCAAAGACAAAGGCCCCCTAGCTTGCAGCACTTTTTATTCAGTACATGGGGAAACAGATGTAACAAGTGAAATATAGAGTTCAGTACTTCACATTGGGATAAACAAGGTGTAACAAAAGGCTGGGGGGCAGTGGAAATCTAAGAACAATGAGGAATTATGCAGATGAAGATTTGGTTCCTCCCTGGCGTCTTCTGCAGGTGGGGTCTTGTCCTGGAGGTTACAGCATCTGGGGATCACTGAGGTTTCAGTTGTGGCCAGAGGCCAAAATGCAATTATGTCTGGAATGTCCTAGCTGGGCAGTAAGCAGGAGAACTAGGCCTACTCAAATGGTTTTTCCCTAGAATTATGTAGCATTGCTCCCAACAGGTATTTATTTGTGAAATAAAGATAGTCATATTTTGTGCTTTAGAGTTAAGAAAAAGAGGCATAAGACTTAAAAAGAGTTAAGGATTATGGTAAGGTGCCATTGATTCAATATTATTGCTTAACTTTCCAAGAAAACCCTGGACCCCTTCCTCTAGATATTGTCAACTTTGTTAAAAAGGGAAACCGATTTCTTAAAAAAATTTTTAATTAGAATAAGGAGAAAAGAAAGTATAATGGACACTGAGAGGGTAAGTGCCATAGAATTTACTGCTTGAAATGAGTACACAAAGGACACTGTAAGAAAATATTCTTGGTGTATTAGTGGGGTCTTCAATAAAATAGAATATTTTTATGTCTTTGATTAATTTTGTGTTAATTTTTATAGGCAGTGAGAGATAAGGTCTAATGTAATTCTTTTGCATATCTATATCTATTTTCCCAGGTCCATTTATTGGATAGATTGTCCTTTGTACAATGTATGCTCTTGGTGTCTTAGTTGAAAGTCAGTTGTCTATAAATAAGTGGAACTGTTACTAGGTATTTGAAATCTCCTTTTTTATGTAGAGGTTTATTGCTATAATGTTCCCTCTTAGTATTGCTTTTACTGTATTCATATGTTTGTTTCCACTTGGATTTGTTTTATAAAACTTAGCTTTGAATTTCATGATCCATTGGTCATTCAGGATTATGTTGTCTATTTCTCACATATTTGCACAATTTTTACAGTTCCTTTTGTATTTAACTTTTAATTTCATTCTGTTGTGGTCAGAGAAGATGCATGATATGATTTTGATTTTTCAAAATTTGTTTCAATTCATTTTGTGGCCTTGTATATGATCCTTTTTTTTTTTTTTTTTTGGTACCAGGGATAGAACTGGGGTCCTTGTGCTTGTGAGGCAGGTGGTGGAACCACTGAGCTAAATCCCCAGCCCTTGAACAATATTTCACATGCTGATTAAAAATTGTGTATTTGAAGCTGCTAGATAAATTGTTCTATAAAGTGTCTTAGGCTTATTTGGTTTTTAGCATGATTTAATTCTGATGTTTCCTTGTTGATTTTGTGTCTGGGTGATGTGTTCTTTGGTGAAAGTAGAGTATGGAATTTCCCAATTATGGTTGTATTAGAGTGTATCTCTTCTTTTAGATCTAACAGTATTTGCTTTATATATTTGCCCAATCATACCTTTTATTATTAAAAAATATTCTTCTTTGTCTCTTTATACAGTTTTTTTTTGACTTAGTAAATTTTATTTAATATGACTATACCTGTTATTGTACATTCCAGTATGCATGTGTCTTTACCAGGGAAATGTGTTTTTCATAAGTAGGACATATTTGAATTTTTTTAAAAATCCGTGCAACCAATTTGTATCTTTTAATTAAAGAGTTTAATTTGTTTACTTTCAAGGTTGTTATTAATAGGTAACTTAATCCTGTAATTTTGTTCATTGTTTTCTGGTTGGTTTGTGTGTCATATGTTCCTTTCTTTCTCTCTTATACATTTTTTAGAAATTTTATTTTATTGGCACATTTCAGGATTACAATATAATGACATTCATCATTGGAAATTTGCACCTTTACATAATCTCTCTTGGTTCTTATTTTTCACCCTTCCTCTGCCCTTCTGTTAACCCCTCCATTACTCTGTATTTACAAAGATTTATTTATAGTTTTTCATTTTCTCATATTAATTCCATTCCCTTCTTTCCTTTCCCCTACATCTCTCACTTCCCCTAACCCTTTGCCACTTTTCTTCCTATTTCACATTAACTATTATACCTTTTACTCCTTATTTACACTTTCAGTTTCTCACACTAGAGAAACTATTCAGTATTAACAAATGTGTGTCCTATTTATTTCACTTAAGGGTATGGCCTCAATGTGCATCCACTTAGCTATAAATGTCTCTAATTTCTCATTTTTTATGGCTGAGTAGTACTCCATTTTATGAAAAAACTGCATTTTCTTTATCCAGTCTCCAGTTGAGGGGAATTGGGCTACTTCCATGTTTTAACTATTACAAATTGTGCATCTATGAACATGGGTGCATATATATCACTGTGGTATGATTCTTTTAATTCTTTGGGGAAGAT